CTTGGACGTCCGTCATACAGTCAGTGTCCATCGAAGACAGCTGCCACGAATCCGCAGACCGTAGCTTATGCTCGAAGGCATGCGAATGGAGCCTGCAGTAGGCCAGAAGCGCAACGTCCAGGTCATGCGGTGGTAGAGTGGGGATAGCCGAGCCATTGCGCAGCTCTTCAGGCATGAAGAGCCGTATGTTCGTACTCCCAAGAAACGCGGCTGCCTTGCGTCGGTCACCCGGCGAAAGCCACGACAGGCCGGGTAACGCACGCACCAGAGCGCGTCGAACGTCCTCAGCTAGCTTTGCAGCACGAGAGGGTGTGCCAACGGCTTCGATGCTTGCGAGCAAGAAAAGGTGCGGTAGTGCCGGTTCGAGTTGCAGCAGGCAACCCCGCCAACGTGGGCCTCGCGACTCCGCCAGCCTGAGACCGAGCTTGTCGGGCAAAAGATAGGCGAGTCGCAGCAGAAATCGTAGCCCCATGAAGTTGAGAACAGTGTCTGCTGGAGTCGCTGCCGCCGTCGCCAGCACGCAACGCAGGCCATCTGTCTCAAGCAGCGCTTCTGTTCCCTCATGAACACCGCTACTTAGTAACCGGCCTAAAAACTCGACTATCTGGGGAAACCCTGCCAGTCGCGTCAAGTGAACTGCGCTGGGCCGGCAGCGCAGCAGGCGCTGTTCCAGACCAGAAAGCTCTGCGGCGTATAGAGGCACTAAGAGTCGTGGTCGAAAGGCACCCAGTGCTGCACTAAGGGCCTCTCCGGAAGTCGTGTTGATCAAGTTTGGGGGACCCAGGCGTAACACGCTCTGCTCCGGGCGTGAGCTATGGCTTCCGGGCACGACGTTGAGCAGAGTGTGCGCTCCAGCGAGCTTTATCACTTGGGCTGCAATAGACCAGATGGAGACGGTTTGACGCAACGGCACAGCGTACGGCCAGTCCGGCAGGCCAGCCATGGACAAAGCCTGACGCAGCGCGTGGACATCGTAGTGATTGGGCACCTCGCTACACTGGCTGTAGAGACGTCGTAGCGGTTCCAGCGGGGGGCTCGTAGAGGCCCTTCGCAGCAGTGCCGATAGGCGGAGCTCTAGGTCCCGGCGTAACTGGGTGTCTCCGGATGCATATTCCTGCCGCCAGCCTTGACAAACAAAGCCGTAAAAGTTCTCGCATGGGTCGTACTCCCATGTGAGCAAGTCCACTAGGTAGCGACCCTCGGCCTGACACGACCGCGACACGCACACATCGTACGGTGGTTTCTCGAGGGCCGAGCGGGGCAGCACTGTAGTAGTGGCATCGGGCAGCTTGCGACGCGGCTCCAGGACGACTGGTGACACACCCTTGCCATTGAGGTTGTTAACAACTGTGATAACTGCAGTTAGCACAGCCATGAGTGTGAGCAGGTAGGCGAACACCTCACGCTCTTCGGTGCAGGAGCTCGGCTGCAGTGCGCTAGTTTCCCATTCCTCACTGAATGGCTCGGCGGCCGCAGCGTCGGGCGCCACTGCTGCCGTCCGCTCAGCGGCCGCACACATAGTCGACGCCACGGTGCTCGCCGCGAGAAAAACACCGCTGCTTGCGCCACATTGCGCCAGGGCACGAGGCAGTCGAGAAGAACGAAAACTGAACTCAGAGGTTGTTCCCCTTAGAAAAAACAAAAGGCCTCGACAATGAGCTTCAGACTGACTTCACCGATTATTTTTACCGGTGCATCGGCTGCAGTGACTGGATGTTGCCATTTCATTTTAGGTACAGAGAAAAATTCCTGGGCTAATTTAGTATTCTACTTCTTCTTTGTTGAAAACTCCCATACTCATTGCGAAGAGTTTTGTTGGCTTGATTCTCTAGCATCCTCGCGTACTTTTTTGTATATTTTCTTCGCTGGTGTTGCAACTTACTTATTAATTTAATTTCTCTATGCCCGGTTCTCATGGCTATGCAAAGTATGATACGGGCACCTACATACATCTACACCGAAAGAATTTTGTACTTTAAAGAGAAAAGAGTGCGCTTTCTCTCCTTTCTGAAATGTGCGAGTGAGCAAAAGCGGAATACTGAAGATATGGTGAGCACGCTCTGAAGTATCATAACTCCTCAAGGTAGCTATATTTTAAAGACCAAGTACTTAGTGTCTAGGCGCGTCCGTTGTGCGTTGTCCCTTGTCCGGTACAGCACATGCAAGGTACCCTCTATATGCTATGACGATGACGCAATGTATAATAAGCGCGCTCCAGACCACACATTCTCTTTTTACCATTGGTGGAAACAATCGTGAAAGTGCTCTCGCCCACGAAAGGCAAAGGGGCAACGCCGACAACCAGCTGCTGCATGACAGCAGCTGGTTGCATCAACATATCAATTCTAGCATAAAACTGTTGCTGTTTTCAGTGAGGTCTCATAATTCCAGTTTTAGTTGCAATAATATTGTGTGAGACTTTTGCTTTACTGTGTATTTTTAAATACACAGTTTCGCCGCAAGAGTGAAGCAATAAATGCGATAGCAGCAAATTGGATTGTCAGGCGAAGAACAGCCAGCAGATCTAAACGTACAGCGTGCTGCTCAATCACAAAGGACGAGGGAAAAGAACACACCCAGGATAAGCGTGAAATAATAACGTTCGCAGCTTGACACTTCAAGTGCGCTGCTATAGTGTTCTGAGTTTTAGTGTTCTGCTTAAATGCTTAATTGGGCATGGTTAACTATTGAAGCAACGAAGCTGTGTAATACCAGTGAGCAAGTATCACCCAGGAGGATATGTGGGGTTTCACGTCCCAAAACCACCATAGGATTGAGACGCCGTAGTGCAGGGCTCCGGAAATTTCGACCACCTTGGGTTCTTTAACGTGCCCCCAAATCTGAGCGAACGGGTCGACAGCTTTTCCGCCTCCATCGGAAATGCATCATGACGTCGCCGTAGCCGGGATTCTATCCCGCGACGGGTCAGCAGCCAAGTACCTTAGCCACTAAACCACCGCGGCGGGGCTAACCTACAGCATTCCTGAAATCGTCCTCGTTTATTTTATTGTGTTGAACACGCATAGCTGCACGGCACTTACTACAGAGGGCTTCGTTTTTTAGGGGCGAAGCTCCTTAAGGCGTGGGTCTGTCCGTCCCTTATATGTATGTAGTATAGTACGTAATCACCGGTGGCACATACCCGCTCTAGAGCGGGTATGTGCTACAGGGGATGCGAGATGGCTGTACTTGAAGTGTTCGCTATAGATGGGCGCATGGACGGACGAACAGACAGACTAGCAGATGGACGGACGGACGCACGAACAGACAGACAGATAGATGGGCGGGCTTACGAATGGACGCACGGATGATCGCGCAGACGGACGGAAGCAAGAACGAACGGACGGACGGAAGCACGGAGACGGGCTGACGGACGCTTCGCCCCACTAATCTTAATTCACTCCGTGGATATTCCGATTTTTTTCTCTTTTTTGCGTGAAATAAATACCACGCAATGTACGTGCTCATTATCGTATTCCCCGTCACAGCGTACTGTGATTCTCCCACAAAGGAAAAAAAAAAAAATATGCGCGAACGCCCTCACGTCTACACTACGGCGTTTCGAAAGAGCGAGCAACCTATGCCGTCAAACTCTGTTTCATGGATTTATCGCCAATGAAGGCTGATAGATTGGCATGGCACAACGTTTAGCACATAATATAGGCCTAGCTCCTACAGAAATGATGAAGTCAGCAGGCTGCCCGACAATGTGGCCAGCGCGCACCGCCATCGCAGGGTTCGCATCCCGGCTGTGGCGGCTGCATTTCCGATGGAGGCGGAAATGTTGTATGCCCGTGTACTCAGATTTGGGTGCACGTTAAAGAACCCCAGGTGGTCAAAATTTCCGGAGCCCTCCACTACGGCGTCTCTCATAATCAAATGGTGGTTTTGGGACGTTAAACCCCACATATCTATCAACCGCAATCGCAGACGCCCCATGCACCGCGGTGGTCTATTGGATAAGTTACTCGGATGCTGACTTGCAGGTCACGGGATCGAATCCCGCCTGCATTTTCGATGGAGGCGGAAATGTTGTAGGCCCGTGTGCTCAAATTTGGGTGCACGTTAAAGAGCCCAAGGTGGTCGAAATTTCCGGAGCCCTCCACTACGGCGTCTCTCATAATCGTATGGTGGTTTTGGGACGTTAAACCCCACATATCAATCAATCAATCAGCCATCGCAGACGAGTCTGCTCGACCTGCAGCGCTGGCCGCACTGTGATGCAATGCCGTTGCGCTCCGAGATTTCCCCTAAATGTGAAACAGACTGTACGCGCAGTTCAACCACATTCTTTTTATGGTATGTTATTACTCGAGACGTTTCAGGGGTGCCATATTACAATGTAATCTATAAAGCTGAAAGTGAATTGTGCTAGTGGGTAGCATGCTTTTAAACCATGACTAATTACGTACGGTAAATATTTTACGTGCTGTGCACCCACTACATGCTCTTAAGGCAATACGAACAGTAACGTATGTGACTTTTGTAATGGGTGACCAGATTTAAACCACGAAGTCGTTATGATATACTTACATTTTCTGACGCCCTATGACAATGTGCGCTTGTAGCACGCAATATTACTGCAATATTTATAGTTGTGTTGTGAAGCCTGTATACAGGACGCGTGTTTGTAAAGCATGAACATTAATTTCTCTGCATTTACAAGCAAATTATTTTAGCGGGATTTTTTTTGTGGGCGCGTGGCTGTGTGGTAGAACACCTGCTTGACATGCTAACAGCCACCGTTCCATCTTCCCTCGGACCCGGAATTTTCATTTTTTTTGCAAGTTTCTCGATTTTTTTTTCACGGACAATATGATGGTTTTTCGCTCACAAAGAACGAAACTCACACCGAGACCGAAGCCGTCATTTCTGCGAAACGAGCTCATTAATGCTATCGAGTTAAAAAGTGAGCACCAGTATGCTTCGCGTCACCCATAAAATGCTGTTTTTTCATCCCGCTCACGCTGCGATTGTTGGTGGAAAGAGGATCAACAAGATTTCAAAAAAATATGACTTTTATTTTTCTAAAAGAGGCAAGTCCACTTTTACAGAAACTGAGAAAAGCGCAGTCTTTTGTTACTGGAAACATGGTCAGGTTTGCTCCAACAATTATCGTTTCGGCACGCTCATGTCATCGAAGTTGTGGCTAAAATATATAATATTGATGAGAAAATTTTGGATTTGGCTCTTAGTGATCGGAACAATTATTAAGGGCTTGAATTAGCTCATTAACATAGTCGAAATCACAGTGAATGAACCGTCATCATTATCACCACCATGATCACATTCAGCATGGCTACGCCTATTGCAGGGCAAAGGCCTCTCCCATATTCAGCCAATCAACGTGGCCGTGTGCTTGCCGCAGCTGCGTTCTGTCCGAAAACTTCCGAGTGTCATCTGCCCACCTAATTTTCTGTCTTCCTCTCATGCATCTATTTTGGAATCCAATCATTCAGCCTTTAATAACCAGCAGTTATCCTGCCTATGCGCTACATTGTGCGTGCCCTGCCAATGTCCATTTCTTCGTCTACGCTTTGGATTTGAGAAGGGCAAAGATCCAGGGATATCATGTCGTCGAGTAGGTCATCAAGTGCTGCGTTAGCAGCAGGGCTTCCTGAAGATGACTGGGGGCATCAATGGCTAGGCCTGCAGAGCAGCGTGCTTCGAAAGGTGATAGGGCACCCAGCACGACCTTCGGCAAGCGATTGTGCAGAATGTCCAAAGTTCAATACAGGCATACAAGCGTGGTTCGCAGAAGTACTCACAAATGAGTGCAATGGAGCTATACCGCGTGTCAAGAGAACGTACAAGGAAGGGGTAATCAGGTAGTACAGATTCCGCACAGTACACAATCCAAGAGCTCAAGGTGTACCTCCATCGGCTACACGAACAACAGGCGATGAAGTAAAAACCTTGCGAAGACAGCGAGAAAAGTGAGCGCTAATGATGGACAATTGGGCACCAGAGTCGATGAGCGCCGAAAACGGCACGCCATCTACTTCGACGTCTAAAAGGTTTTGTCGTGTAGCCAGAGTCAACAGAGGATTTCTAGGTCGATAAGCCAATTCAGCATCACCTTCGGGAGCTGCACTGATTAGTTTTCCGAAGAGGGGCAGGGACGGTGAACAACGGGGCCTATCCGACCGAGAACCTTGCTGGTTGTGCGGGGACGGCAAGCGGTCCGAAGATGGGGCCGAGGTTGGGGCATCAAGATTTGCTCATCAAGGGAAATTATCGGTAGAGGGCGATGACTGTGGCTGAAGTGGGACGGTTTTGCACGACCAGCGGTATTAAAGAGCCGAACAAATTGTTGCATGACTCGGCGGCTCTTCGCTTCTTCACGGTTGTACTCCATGATGATGTCGTCGATGGTGGAGCAGGCTTCCTAAACAAGTAAATGGAAGGCATCATTGGCGATGCCCTTTAGAATATGACTGACTTTGTCAGCTTCGGACATTCTGTCGTTGACCTGCTGGCACAAGGCTAAGACATCTTGGATGTACACCATGTACGGCTCCGTTGAGGTTTCTGCACGGCACGAACCACCAGATTCATGCAAACAGTATTAGCTACCAACAAAAAAAAATGAATAGTCAGAAAAGTTGTTTCTGGTCAGCTTGTTGGTGTGCGATTGGCTTACCAAAAAGATCTTTCCTTTTTTGTTTGCAGACGTCCCAACTCGTCAACTCCTTCTCGTGCGTGTCGAATCACGCACTAGCCGTTCCCCTCAGGTATTAACTGACGTTCGTAAGCATTAGAGTTGAGTCGCACCAGTTGGTCTTGCTGGCACGCTCGTAATCAGCTAGCCACTTTTCGAAGTGTAGGTTGTCAGTTCCGCAGAAAGTACCAGGGTCTCGTGGATGGGTCACAATGACGTGGATCGGAGCGGTTGGCTTAACGGGGGCCGGATCATCGGATGGTGTATGCGAATTGTGTGAAACCCCAAAACTCCTAAGCTATCTTCGTGGTGACAGAAGTATGCTCTTATGATACTCGTCACTGGCTAGCTACATCTGAAACCAAGATATATGAGCTTCAACAATAGCTGCTTTGTCAACTGGGCCATAGGTGCTTCACAGGTGTGGTGGCTGTGATGTAGTGCTATTTTTGCTAGCGTTCCCCGCAGCAACCAGCTCCTTGACAGCGGACAGAAGGTGGCTCACGTCAGCTGCAAACACAATGTATTTACCAATACAGCAATCAGTCACTTTTCGTAAGCCACATGGACTGAGAAGCAGCAAAGAAATGTAATTTCAGTAGCCTGACAAGCATATTGACCATCTCATGCACATTAGAGGAGTTATATTTGCTAGAGCAAAATTTTTTTTTTCTTGCATGATATTCCGTTTGTCACTGAATATTGCAGTTATTTTGAAGGTTCTTTCATTTAGCCCACATTACACTTGCTATCAATATGGTGCTAGAAAATTCTTGTTCCAAGTGTTCATATTCGATGCTATTTTCAAATAAAGCTCAGTTGGAAGTTAGCACCCTGTCCTTTTATGTTGGCCAGCTCGGCTGTTTCTTCTTTCCCGTGACACGCTGTTCCAGTTCTAGTTCCTGGCATTTAACAAAATGATGGAGAGTCACTGGTTACATTCGTCCAAGCTGCCGCTGTCGCAGAATGCAGTAGCAGAATCAATGAGTGTGTGTTCTTTCACATTTAAATCCATTTATGATGCTCAAAAAGTCTGTGTATACAACTGCCTTGTATATATTTCAAAATCTCTGAAGTGTTTTCCAGCCACCAATACTGCGTAAGCCTCTGCTGTAGAAGTGCCAGTGTATGATGCATACTAGCAATGCTGTGTGCATACCGTAATGTGGTGGTTCTTTGATGGCGCAAGCAACAGCATCTCCTTTCCTTGCCCTTGGATGCTTGATCTGTCACCGGATGCTTGATCTGGTCACCACTCTGTGTCTGTGCTTGCATTTTAATTATAGTGTAGAGCAGCCAACTGATACCTGCACAAAATGATTTACATCATTATTAGAAGTGGCACAATGTAGCATAGGAATGTGTGACGAAAGCTGTGGCAGAAAATTGCAACAACTTGCAATATGAAGCAGCGCATTATTACTAAATGTGCAGCTCTCACACACACAAATTTGGCTACATAGAAGCATTACTCTATTTTTTCAGGAGCCAAATTTGTGGAACTGGTGAATGAAACTATCGCCTGTAATACTGTATGTTTGCCACACTTTCATATTCCACATACATACCTGGCTTGGATGCCATGGCAGGAGAAGGCATAGCTCTTAGATGCAAATCTGTTTATAATAGCGTGGAACGATTCCACGGCATAAGTTTGAAAGTTTGGCGACATCTGTCTGATGTCTTCCAGAAGGTGCTTATTTGACACGATGCTGCACACCTTGTCATAAGCTTCTGTGTCTAGAAAAAAAAAAGCTGAAAGAAATTAAGGGATTTCAAGTGAAAGTTATAGACATTATCAGTGCATCAGTCAAGCAGTTGACATTCTTCTAAAGCTGCCCTGCACCCCAAATTCTGCATGTTGTTTTTATCAGCAGTTTGCTCACCGAGTCGCAATGATTTCTGTGGCACAAGTGAAGGTAGTAAGAGTAAAATGCTGGATATCTTAATGTCTTTGTCGAGTGGGTTTCCGCATCAAGTGCAGTGTTGGGCATGAAACTATTCTGGAAGCAAAAGTGCGGTGAAATGATGAAAATTCGCTGGACAATTTGATTAGTTTTTCTTTAAGAATACACTGTGCATGCTTGCAATCTACTTTCGGTGAGGAATTTGCCTATAGTGATGTTTTTCACAGTTTTCATTGCTGTGGAAAGACGGGAATTTGGCAGTGAAATTTTGACTGCTGAGCAGCTGACACTTGGCAGAATTGAACAGCCTACACAAAGTGCAGAACAGCCTACATAATGGGCAGATCTCATCAAAATATTCCACTTGACAGGTCTGCATCAAAGCAAAACCATGCATTCCTGCATGGAAAAACAAAACATTCTCCTGTCTTCACCATATCTGACCCTTCATTTGTCAGCACAGAGATGTCTGATAACCCTTCTGCAACATAATCCAGCAAAAATTGTAGTGGCGGCTAGTGGCAAGAAGGTCACAATCTGTTGCAACAATCTGGTAGAGCATAGTATAAGCCACGTTTTCATTGCAACTAAATTGGCACGCCACTGGGTGAACGGTATGCAAAAAAGATACGCTAATTTCTGACCTCTCATTTTACTTTAAAGTTGTAAGCTTCAGTCAATCCACAAAATTGTTTTTGAATTCATCTCAAGAAAATACAAAGAACACGGTGCAATGAAAAACTTGGAAAGTAAGATTTGGGTGCATAGCACTATTAGCGTTCAGAAAAATTCCGCTGCACACATGAGCAATGCATTACCTGGTTCTAACCATTTTCTTGCCTCCAATTTCTTGTGCTGGTACTTTGGATAAAGCACACCATGTCCTCTGTGCTTGTCCTTTATGTGATTTAGAATAGACAGCCAAACAGCCACAGCCATGCCACCATCACCACTGCCAACTCTCAACACTGCCATCACCACTGCCAACTGCAACTGTACCTGAGCCAACATAACATGAGAGAAAAAATGCAGCAGCACTCAGTGAGCTTTCCTGCCTTTTCAACTTATTCAATTTGTAGGGAAAAGTCGGAAACTTTAGATATTTACTAGGAAATAATGTGGTGCATAAACAGGAAATCAAAAGATGGAGCATCTCATTCGCATGGTTACTTGGAAGTAAAATGTCCAACAACATACATTTAGTCCAGCAGTATGCTACAGAATATGACTGCAGCTCCCAATCACCAATTACTCGATGGCACATGACAAGACCAGGTAATGATAACCATGATAAAAAAAATGGCATTTTTGATAACCCTAACTGTTTCCTACCACATCTTATGCTCACATACTCTGACGAGTCACAGAGGCTGCAATGGTGGAAAGAGACATACAGAAACTCTACAACGTGTTTTCAAGTACGAATTAAGACGTGAAAAATTGAAATGTTATTCTCGCCTGGTGATGGCATTAATGGTTGCCAGTTCAAAAATATACAGAGGATGCTACGGATAGCTTAACATATGCTTTGAATTCGATACACTGTGAACCACCACTACCTGAGAAACATTAACGAGAAGGTGGAGAAGCTCATGGAGCAAGAAAAAGTGAAAATTTCATAATACGTTACCATATAATTGCCACAAGGGTTTCTTGGGTTCACAAAGGAAAAAGAAAATTGAAATGTGAAATGATGTCTACCTTTGTCATCATCCTTCCTTTAGCATGCTTTTATATCAATTGGAATGCCACATCGTATTGAGCAAACATTCCATACGTCAATGTTCATAGAACATAATTAGGTGAAATTTTGTATTTAATTTTCTGTAAGTGTGACCTTGAGGAACTTAAAATATTTTCCTTTTCTTGATTCCCATATTCACTTATCTTTAAACATACAAAGTCAAGATATTATTAACTCCTAATACCAACACCATACCTGCTACGCACGACGGTACTGATGATACACTCTGTAGATGGCACATTTACATTCTGTGGAAGCCACAGCTTCCTTTTTCTAGGACTTAAAAGCACATTGACATAAAAATCTATGCACATTGCTTTGTTTAGCTGCGTAAAGTAGCCACGTACAGATTAATCTTAAGATGGAGTGCTGTTTGCTGTAACAGCCTCCTTCATTAGCAGCTGGATCAAACACAGAGAGCGTTGTCACACCAGAGCCTTTGTAAACCGCATATTGAAACTTTAGCCAAGTGAACTCTGTGGATATGTTGGTACTGGAATTAAACCACCATAATGTGAGCGAAACTTCTACGGTAAATCAGCAGCAACGGTGGTGACACAGTTTAAATTAAATGTAACAGCGGTGTCATAACAAAGTATAAACACATACCGATTTCAGCACTCGTTTTTACTGCTTGAACACCAACATCTTGCATCACAGTCATTGCTGAAGTCTGGGTGGCTTTGGAGGCCTTTGGCACTCTGCACTGTGTCAGGTCATTGAACTTTTCAGTGTGCTCTGGGGAAGCTGCCACATGCTCAGCGATCACATCGTCACCATCGTGAGGAACTTGTGAATCTATGGACAAAAAATGACGCAGAAAACTTAAATCAATTTTAAATGTTATCGCATAGGGAAGGGTTGGCTTGCAATATTATTGCAGTTACTTGGTTTGAATACACAAAAATCACATAAACACAGAAGAAATAGAGAGGACACTGGCTTACAGATGCCACTAAAATGGGTGCAATGCCTGCCTGCTCCTTCAGGAAAATAGCTGAAAAAAAAAAAACAGGGGAGAAAGACAAACAACTTTCTTAATAAAGTCCAGAGAAGTTGATCTCTGGCAAGCCTCTGCTCCGGCCTAGGAATCGGCCGTGAGCCCTTAAGCTAGGGTGGCTTCCTCGCAGACGAGTACAGTCACACCGAATATGAGCTGCAACATGTTGTTCGTGATCAAAATATGACTGCACTCAGCAGTGAGTACGCGGACCTATGATAAAGATAACATCACTTCCAGCTGGATGCTGTGAATTTTAACTACAAGTGATGGAGGTGAAGCAGGTACAGCTTGAACTAGCTAAACTTGAAACATTTCTACGATGTCTTCCACAATGCCTATATTACTATAGATTTAAGCACGAGGGTAGAATGCTTGTTCTGTGCTCTATCCTCTGGCACATAAACAAAACCAAATTAAGGCGAATGGCCGGCAGCCGTTTCTAATGGTGCCACCTGTTGACGTATGTTGCACCATTGAGTTTTCCTTTTTTATTGTAACAAATAAAAAGTCCGCATGCCAAATCACCACATCAAGTGAGCTGAAAAACGCAAAAGGGTGTCTGCTTTGCATGCCGTAAGCGTTCAGAGATTGAATCGGCAAACAAACCTGGGCTAGAAAACTGCGATGTTTCGTCGACGGCCGGCAGTTCGTAAGGACTCCCGCACGAAGTCCCTGTGTCACGAGATTCCTGCAATACATATATTTACCGTAAGTATCCTGAAAAGTGCAATAGAAATTTTTCACGCGCACTGCAACTCGCTCGGCCCAAAACAGCAGACATACGCACCTCGAAACAGGGACGCTTGCATGTGGGCTCTAATGCTGGAGTTGCGTCACGATGTTGTGCTGAAGCAGCGTAGAGCGTGGGCACAGCTTCTGGCTCCAAATATCGCTTCTTTGGCAGCGCGATGCCGAACTCAAGAAGGTACCGATGGTTCCCGATCCGGTAGCAGTCGGGGCCGAAATGCAGCGAGCGAATCCGGCTTCGCTTGGCTGGCGTCCAGTCACAGCTGCTATAGCGACGCACAAAATCTACCCACACTTGTCTCACCGCTGGGTCGTTCGGAAAACTGTGCATACTAACGTCGCCCCCGGTCTTGGAATCACAGCCTTTGACGGCACAAGGAATGGGTGTCATCGCGAAACAGGGATGCGGTGATCGGAAAAACAATGTAATCACACTCGCGTCCTTTCACATACCACAGAGGTGTCTCAGCGCTCGATCACTGTCGATGTGACCACGAAGCGTCGCAGCCAAATGGACAGAGCACAGCACAACTACGAATGTTGTTGTTGAGTGATTCTAGGAGGAAGAAGGCACCTAATTTCGGTCTGTCGACACGGCGCAGTGCCTTTACGAATGACGCCGGTCGGCGGCGAACCGCTAGTAGAGTGCTTATTCCAGCAACTGTACCGCTAGGCCGGCAGTCGAGAGGGTACGCCGGTCGCGCTTTCTTCCATTTTATTTTTGTGAGTACCCCAACGCACACGACTATACATGACGTCACATTTTTCTGTGCACCTGACTTGAAACGTCAAGCGCTGTGCCTGACGGTGGAGCTGCCTTGCAGAAACTGGGAGATGAAAACTTTAAAATCCAATTAAAGTGTTTTATACGTGTTTCCCGGTTCTGGTGTGGGGAGAACGTTAACACTACATACAATGGAAACGAAAAACGTCTGTTTTGCCGCAACTCCATATTGTGTCAGTTTAACACCCGTTGGTTCCCTGACCCACTCTGCTCTATTCCTAAAGAACGACAAGGGCAAGATGGAAACTTGTGATCAAAAATTCGTAAACAGTTGGTGCACAAACGCACAAACACTCAGACACACACACACACACACATTCGTGAATACACAAACACCTGAACAATTGCGCAAAACGACCGATAAAAAGATTGATTGATATGTGGGGTTTATTGTCCCAAAACCACCATATGATTATATGAGAGATGCTGTAGTGGACGGCTCCGAAAATTTCGATCACCTGGGGTTCTTTAACGAGCACCCAAATCTGAGCGCACGGGCCTGCAACATTTCCGCCTTCATCGGAAATGCAGCCGCGGCAGCCGGGACTTGATCCCGCGACCTGCGGGTCAGCGGTCGAGTCCACTTGACCACCGCGGCGGGGCGACAAAAAGATCAAAGGAAGAGATAGGTATAAGGCCCCTCTTGCACGCATGCTCCAGCCATAGGAGAGGACGTTGCCTGGATCGCCTTTCCCACTTCGCTCCATCTCTGTGTGAGCGATGATAAGAAGTGTGGCAGCTTGGGCTAGTTGGTATGGCGATAGTTATAGCGCGAGAACAAAACGACGACACAGAGACAAGAAGGACACGAAAGACACGGTCTTTCGTGTCCTTCTTGTCTCTGTGTCGTCGTTTTGTTCTCGCGCTATAACTATCGATGATAAGAGTTTTGCTTTGTTCTGGGCGCTCTCAGTTTCTAGAGAGGAAGAGTTCTTCACCACAAAAATGCCGGATCCTATAGCCATAGACAGCTTCGTTGTAAAGCCCCACCGTGGTGGTCTAGTGACTAAAGTACTCGGCTGCGGGCCCCAAGGTCGCGGGATCGAATCCCGGCTGCGGCGGCTGCATTTTCGATCGAGGCGGAAACGCTGTAGGCCCGTGCGCTAAGATTTGGGTACATGTTAAAGAACCCCAGGAGGTCGAAGTATCCGGAGACCTCCACTACGGCATCTCTCATATAGTCATATGGTGGTTTTGGGACGTTAAACCCCACATATGAATCAATCAATCAGCTTCGTCGTAAAAGCTTATGGAGCGAAATTCAAGGAAACTTCTTTTTCGCAAAAGTGCGCTTTCCCATTTGCCAGCCGGCTTGACTAATTATATAAGCCCCGCGTCGGGATTGCCTGAAACATCCTCTTAAGACGACTTTAGCGTAAGAAGTTTTTCCAAATACGAGCCCTGCTTGTTTTCGTGACTCCTTTTCTTGGGTTCAGCAAAAAGAATGATTGCTTGGCTCTCCAATAGATGTTTCTTACAAATGTCTAACTTTTTACTGCGCTAGGCACACAAAAGAGACGGTAGCACTTGCATCTTTCGTCGCCCTGTGGCGTTGCCGTTTTCAAGACGCACTACGAAAAAAAAAAAAAAAACGCACCAATATAGTGTGTTACAGATTTACGACAAGACAACGTGACTGTCACCTTAGGAGTGTGGAGAACGCCGCGGCATTGGCGGAGGAACATATAAAGAGAAAAAAATCAGGAACCCCATAAACAGCTAATATTATATGAAAGAAAAATCAACGCTGGTGGTGAACTGCTGGTTATCTTTTTGGGAAAACTTCTCGTATCTGTCGAATGCCAGCAGATGACACCATGGTTACGCTAACCAATATTTAATTGCCCTTTATGAACGTGGCATGTGCTTGTAAGGTGGGACAGTAGTGAGCGCTAACAATAGAAAGACACTCACCGGACCAAATTACAGCTTTTTGTTGTCCACTGAACATTTTGAGGCCCCGTCCAGGGAACATTATACCTAGATAATCAAAGGCTATACTGTAATACATGCGGCAAAATACAATCAGAAAAAATAGGCCAGGTCGCCACGAACAATCATGATTACTATTTCATATTACCAAAAGTCAGGCAACATTTTGTATTGCGACTTTGTAGACAGAAGCGAGTGTGTTTTAACAGCGAAGCTGTTTAGGCTAGCCGTAAATTGTGTGCGCGAAGTATCGGAAAACTACCATCATCAAGAACGCGCATGTGCCACTGAAATTGGGCAAATCCACAACTCACCCCTGGTCCACCAAACATGAAAAAGACAACACTTAGCCCAACAAGCGGCTGCGAAGCGAGGGCGATGAGTCCGAAGACTCCGGGTACGTACAACGAGAGAATACTAGCAGACGATAACCGAAATGGTGGCTGCCAGAAGGCCCCGAAGTGATGGAAGGCCAACGGCGATGTGCCCGTAGATCAGTAAGGGGTGCGAATGCTTGATTTCAGCGCGATTCCGTGTCGTATCTGTGAGAGTCTGCGGCTTAGCGCGAACCTCTCCGCGCTGACAATCAACATAGAAAGAACTAAATTTTTCGTCACTTTTCACGAACAAAACAAGGACGAAGACAGGAATGAACTCGGACGAGTGCAATTTAACAACCGGTTTGTTATTTTTTATTACATGTTAAGTACCAAATATAATCTGCGCAATTGCCTCAAAAAGAAAAAAACAGGCCTGCACTGAAGGCGCAGCACAGTCACAGCACAAGCTAGAAAAGCAGCCTTTCAGAGCTTTTTCCAAACACTCATTGCGTATAACTGCTGCAAGCACACTTGCTTCATACCCACTACGGCATTAATAATAGAAATTTTAGGGTAGTAGGCTGGCATTCGCTATGCAATTTTTCGTCATTCTTCGGAGAAGCGTGGTACCCGCTAAACTATTGCGAGAAATTTCGTGCCCATTGTTCATGCAGTGGCTGACGACGATGAGGAATTAAGGCTGAAAGGGGTATGCGCGCCACAGTTTATGAGGGAACAAGAAAAAAACTTTTGTAATGGGTTGGAACATTGGACGGCCCATTCGTTAGTACGCTATACGCTATTCGCATTGTGCGACGACTGGTTGTTCTTTTGCTGTTTTGAAACGCTTGATAAGTCGTATTAACATGATTGATTTCCCGACATATCCATCCTGCCTAAGGCAAGTTTGCCGACAACTCCAACGCACCGTCATGACTCAGTGGTAGGTTACTGGGCTGGCACCCAGCGGACCCGCGTTTGAGCCCCACTGTGTCATTGGTACGAGGTTTTTTTTTTTAATTTCGTGCGATGTGTTACGGACACCGGCGGCGGACAACTGCGGCGCCGCGCGTTACCCGAGTTTTTATCTCATAACAGCGTTCCCTGTGAAACATATCACTCGCGCATATAACAAACACGTCTGATTACAATGCCTCGGAGTGGCCCATCCACAGCAACAAAATACGTCAAATCAACATCTACCTGAGAACATAGGGAAAAAAAGAAAACCAAAGAGGTCATTATCATGAGCACGTGATTTGAAGATAACGCAGAAACACTGTTCCCATTTTGCGCGTCAATTTCATGCTTACAGGATGGTTTGCCGGTTGCCGTAAATTGAGGTTACGACCAACTGGCTTACCTGAAGCCTTCATTTATATAAGGGAGATAAAATTAGGATTTTTGCCCCTACCTTGCGCATAAAACGCGCTGTGCTCATGCAATGGACTTATACTGCGGGGGTCGCAGTCGGTCAGCTGCGGTATTTGGTGCATGGCTATAGTAATACGCCCCGTATACCACTTAAATTATTATATAGCGCAATTTATAATAATCAGTATGAAAAAAGTATTGCTCTAATAAGCATTTCACTTGCCCTCACCTTTACGGTAGTTGTGGCGGTATTCAAATTAGGCCAACAAGTTTCATATAACCTTCACGTTGTAGTATACAGATAATACTGTCGTATAGTTGTGGCATCCCGAGACTAGCGCTCGGGATGCTCATCCTATCCGACATACTCAGCTGAACAGGAAGTTATTTCAGGGTGCACGTCAATGAACTTAAGATTACGTTAAATAACTATTAAGATTACGGTACCCGAAATCCGCAAGCACATTTATGTTGCTGCGTCGAGAAGACAGGTTGGCGTCCGAGTTTACAGCTATACTGCACACGTGTAAAAAAGAAAACGTCGCGACGTTTGTAGAGGACCACCTCGATGGTTACGCTGCTCGGCTACTGACCCCAAGGTCGCGGGTTCGATCTAGGCCGTGGCGGTCGCATTTCGATGGAGCCATGTAAAGAACAACAGAGAGACGAAAATCTGTAGCTCTCCCCTACCGCGTCTCTATTATAATCATACCATGGAGCTGCGGTGTGCCCCGATTCACTTCTATCCAAAGCCTGGATTTATCAGTCGCAAGTATATATTGATTCACTAAGTTCACCTATACACCACATCAGAGTCAGAAAAAAAACTTTATTCACAGCTACCACCCTCAGTCTGCATGCGGAAAAAAAATTTGAGAGCCACTGCACGTGTCTACACAGTGTGGAGACGTGTGGCCCGTTTTCGGTGCAGCCGGTGACCACGCATTACAGTAAGAAACAAGTCTGAGCACACGCATGCTCTCGGCTGGCCGCTGAAGAATTTTCGGCCACGCACACGGGTCGTTCACCAAAAGTCACAACTCTTGCGTGGGTTCATCGGAGTACCGGCGTCGCAAGAGAACGCTCGCTGGAAGCCACCGAAGTTGAGCAGGGCCAAATTGACGCGTCGAGCCACATCAGAGTCCGCAGTGCAGTATCCAAGCGTGTAGTGGATGAAGAAGAGTTGGTCGAGCGACATGGAGACCGCGTTCTCGAGTCGGAAGTCCAGCAACGGCATG